AGTATTCACCTCAAAAGCTAACAAAACCTTTAAACAGACTTATTAAGAAGGGATATAGTTACGATACTGTTGTCAGGTCATTAAAGATTGCATATTTTGGCTTTAATATTGATTCACTTATAGGGTCTTTGCATCGGAATTAAACATATTTATTCTAAAACCAGTCCTTGGCATGACACGGGTTGTGTTCTTCTCATATATTTTATGACGGTATAATACTAAACCCCTAACAGGAGGGATTGTGCCTGATATTCATATGAAGAAGACATAATCTTTCAATCAGTTTAATTGAGGTCTGGAGCTGGCATGTCAGTAACTGCTAGTAGTCTGTTGTTATTTATGTATTATTGTCATTTTGTTTATTTTCTTTTGTTTCCTATTCTGACATCGGACTCGGACTTCTCTTAAACTGAGTTTTACTGTGCGTACTGTTGTACGTTTGTTTTTACTACATTGGCTAGAGGTATAGGGGGAGGGTTGGGATCTCAAAAAACATGTTTAACCCCGCCGCATTTTTGCGCCTGTCCCAAGTCAGGAGCCTCTGGCCTTTGTTAGTCTTGTATCATTTTTAATTTTAGTTTCTTGTGTATAATTTGGAGTTTAGTATGACGTCCATTATCACTGAACTAGTATACATATTTGTTTAGGGGCCAGATGAAGGACGCCTCCGGGTGTGGGAGTTTCTCGCTGCATTGAAGACCCATTGGTGGCCTTCGGCTGTTGTCTGCTCTATGGTCGGGTTGTTGTCTCTTTGACACATTCCCCATTTCCATTCTCAATTTTATTTGAAATATGCCCTGCATACTTATTTATGCAAAGACAAATAGTAATTATTGAACTACTGTGGGGCTTGAAAAAAAATCTATTTAAGGGATTCGGAGACGAGAACAGTAAAAAAAAGCTCAGCAACGAATCCTAAATGTAAAATGATTTGCAGCATAAGACATGAGAGCACATATTATAGATAGTATTAAATATGAAGTTCACGTCTCATATAGTGAATTCCTATGTCATAGGACTATTGTTGTAACATGGGTTAGTAACTGGTTCCAATTTATCCTGAATTGTCTTTATTAAAAAATTAGTTCCGGAGTATAACAGCTTATGTCGCTACTCAGTGTGGGTTTCTGGTTCTGCTGTCATAATTAGGTGATTTTTTTTTCTACATGTAGTAAAAAAGAGGGGGCTTTAATTAAGTTAGTCCAAATAATTGTAACGTCCTGGATGCTTTTTATTCTTTTTTCAAGTGTTCCTTCCTGCAACGTCTCTGAGGATCAAGAAAAGTAAAAAATGATATAGCACTAAAGAACGTCATGATTACATGTATCTGGACTTAGAAGGGGGAGGGGGGCTAGCTATGTATTTTTTTTATTTCAATGTGTAGACTGTAGGAGAGTTTCTTCAGAAAAGGTTTTCATTGGAGGTGTTTTTGCCATGCACGCAGGCATCTGTTTCTATCCATGAACAAGTTGTGTGTCAAATTAATTATTATTGCTTGTCACTCGCATTTTTTGCTCGTCCTGGCCATTATTGGCATTAACAGCCAGTGCACGAACTCGCACGAACGCCAAATTTAGTTAGAGGGGCGATATTCTGACGCGTTTTTTAATTCTTGGTCACTCAAGTTTTGAAAGAAAGGGGAGAAATCCAAACAATTACCGACCAATCACAAACGTTGTTGCAAATTTGACCTTATGACGTCAAAGAATTTCCCATAATGCAATTATTGCATATAAATAAAAAACGACTATACCAATTGAATAAAAAATATTGCATTCAAATGACATTTTATACCAATTGAATAAAAAAAAATTGCATTTGAACGAAAATTATACCATTTGAATGAACAATTATACCATTTGAATGAAAAATTATACCATTTGAATGAAAAATTATACCATTTGAATGAAAAAAATATACCATCTGAATAAAAAATATTGCATTTAAATGAAAAAATATACCATTCAAATAAAAAAATATTGCATTTAAATGAAGAAATATACCAATTAAATAAGAAATATTGCATTTAAATGAAAAATATCAAATTTTTGCAACCAATACCATGCCATAGTTTATGCGTAAACGATATCTTTCAGACAATTACCATTTTCATTATTTCATTTTCATTTATGATCGAACAAACATATTCATATTTCAAACTTTTAAGCCTCAAACCCAAACCTAAATTGTATTGAATTTGGTATTTTTAGGTACATTCTCTGTGCTACGATTCTGGTTCATAATCATAAACTTAATATTTGTCTATAAATTTCTTTGATGAATTTTTCTTTGTATGTGTCGCTTTTAAACATTCATTTATAAATACTATTTGTCATTTCTATTTCATTGCATCTAGAAGTATGGATTCTAACGGTGAAGAAGAGGAATCCTCCAGATCTTTATATAATTTCCTTCAAGGTCGTGAAGTAGATGTGAATAAATTAAAGGAGCAGAAGGTATGGAACTGTATGTGGTGTGATTTAATTATTAAGTATTCTCCTGATTAATTAAAAGCAGAAACAATGCACTGAACTGTTTTTCGCAAAATTTAGCGTTGAAATTTGTTATGATATTTAACAACAAGTGGGCTTTTGTAACTAAAATTTGTAAATTAGAAGTTTTCTCTGTAAGGGTTATCTCCCCAAAAACCGTTTTGCGTGTAATTTGTACTTTCTCACAACAAAAAAAGAGAATGTGAAAAATAATTTTAACAGGCGCATTATTAGACTCCATATATATGAGAATGTTTCCCCATTCTCTATTTTACATGAAGGATAATTATATAGGTGAAACAGTAAAACTGTTAATGATCCGCAATCATTCATGTTTAGCTCACCATGTTAGCTCAAATGGGCCAAGTGAGCTTTAGTGAAACCGTAAAACTGTTAATGATCCGCAATAATTCATATTCAGCTCACCTGGCCCAAATGGGCCAAGTGAGCTTTTCTCATCACTTGGCGTCCGTCGTCTTCGTCGTCCGTTAACTTTTACAAAAATCTTCTTCTCCTCTGAAACTACTTTGCCAATTTTAGTCAAACTTCGCCACAATCATCATTAAGGTTCCTCTGAAACTACTTGGCCAAATTTAGTCAAACTTCGCCACAATCATCATTAACGTATCTAGTTTAAAAAAAAAATGTGTTCGATGACCCTGCCTGCCAACCAACATGACCAACATGGATAAAATTAGAACATATTTTGTCTAGCCTGCGACTTTTGTCGCAGAAAGCTCGACATGGGGATAAAAATCTGGCTATGGCGGCGGTGGTGTAAGGTAACCGTCTATCACAAATCAATTGTCCTTGACCTCATTTTCATGGTTCAATGACTACTTGAAAAAAAGTTAAGATTTTTGTAATGTTAATTTCTCTCTTATTATGAGTAATAGTATAACTATATTTGATATGCGCGTACCTTGTCCGTCACACAGGTTTCACTTGACCTCGACCTCATTTCATGGATTGTAAGGTGTACGTGTTCAACTGGCAGGTGTCATCTGAACTTGACCTCATTTTCATGATTCAGTGGTTATAGTTTAGTTTTTGTGTTTTGTTCTATTTTCCTTATACTGTATGCAATAGGTCTACTATATTTGGTGTATGGAATGATTGTTAGGTGTACATATCCAACTGGCAGGTGTCATCCGACCTTGACCTCATTTTCATCGTTCAATGTTCAAAGTTAAGTTTTTGAGTTTTGGTCCTTTTTCTTATACTATATGCAATAGGTCAACATATTTGGTGTATGAAAATTTTTTATGATGTACATGTCAGTCTCGCAGGTTTTATTTGACCTTGACCTCTTTTTCACGGTTCTTTGCTCAGTTTAAAGTTAATGTGTTTTGGTCTGTTTTTCTTAAACTATAAGCAATACGTCAACTATATTTGATCATACCTAGTGTATAGAATGATTGTTTGGTGTACATGTATTTCTCATTTTCTCATTTGGTTTATATGACCTTGACCTTTTTCTTGGATCATGTGAAGTTTGTGTAATATTTGTAGTAAAGCTTTATATTTAGGACGCAACATAATATCAATGGTTAGTAAAGAAGGCGAGACATTTCAGCATGTGCACTCTTGTTTTTTTTCTCTTCATTTTTGTAAGGCCTTATATGATGTAAATTATAATTGACAAATAGACACTTTAAATCACAAAAATGATCAACAAAGAAAGATCTATTAAAAAGTCAAATTTTGCCGATATAGTTAGTAGACTCTCATTCCCCTTGAACGAGAATTGTGTCCCCTCTTTTATGTTTTGAACAAAAAATATAGTAAATAGATAGAAATTAAACAGACTAAAATATCATTTATGCAAGATCAACAAAATAAAAGATTTTTGTCATAAAGTCTATTCCAATCTACAATGTTGGAGTATCTTTTGTTTGATATGGACCTAGATCGAGCAACATTAGAGCTTCTAGTTAACCTATAAACACACAGTTATCATATTAAATCTTCATTTTTATTTAAGTAATCCCCCCCCCCCCCCTAAAATAAAATATTGAAACAAGTTCATGAAGGAAGATGTAAGAATATTTAAAGGATTAGAGAAAACGGAAGAGGGATCCTTATCTATTTAAAGTACACATATACAAGTCCGTGCCAAATGATTTGTCTATCGAGATATTGGTATTTCCAGGAGCATGCAAGTATAAAAACCGCCTCCCCTTCTTAAAGTAGCCTGGCATGTTCGGTAATCAAATTACTCATTGGAGTCGTATTCATTCTTTCTTCAATAAGTAAATATCAATCTCTAGAATTACCCTCTTTAATCCCGAAGAAACAACCCTCTTACAATGTTGAGAATAGGACATACTTTGTTATTATTGATAATCTATGGTTTTTTTATACAATGGCTTCCTTTTCAACATAAGTGAAACATGCAGGTATATTGGTAAATAAATAAGGAGTATATACCAAAAACTATTAAATATTCTTTGGCATTCACTACTGTTACACGAACCATGGGTAGTATGCTGCTTATATTCCAATCTCTTTTTCCATAGCTGAATAATCATTTCCTTTTTTCAGATAGACTGTAAAGTTATACTGGAAATGGATGACAGAGAATTATCTAAATTTATTCCAAGGTATGGAGATCGTGTGCTTGTTCGCAGTTTTCTTCGAAAACAGAATTCGCCAAAAACAAGAAACCCTAAAAGAAAGTCGAAGGGTTGTATTGTATCATCTTTAAAGCAAACACTTAAAGCAATGAAAAATAAGAACAAAAAAAAAAAGGTAGTTCAGACTCAGAATCGGAAGATACAAGTAATAGATACACTGGTAACCAAAATGCTCTTAAAGGTACTAGACAAGTAAAACTTGTTCTTATGAAGAAAGATAAGACTGGACAGTTCACTAAAATCTGGACACAAAAAGGTGGTGGGCCTAGAAAGTTGCCAATTAACAAGTCTGCCAAGAAAGATGAAATTATAAAACTTGGAAAACAAATCTACTTTGGAAAAGATGGCATTTCTAAACTTGGGTCTGTAGTTGATTTCAATTTTGAAATTAAAAACTTCGAGGTTGAAGTTGTGGGCGACACTCTCAGTGTTGGGGACCTTTACACAGCCATAGGCCTTACGTTATTAACTTTCTACATTTTGCTCACTCCAGTGGAGGAGGAGAGCCTCCCCAAACTATCACTACCAAAAAAATCTGTAAAAATAGATGAGCAGCACGAGAAAGAACAAACTGATGAAAAGGAACAAGATGAAAATGATTTAACACACTCTGTAGGAACAGATATTATAGCAGAAGCCATACTATCCTCGGGGGTTGCTGATTTTGATGGTGGAGATTCTCTCGATAGCATTCCGGACTTTTTTGAGCATGTAGCATTTTTAGAACCAGAGAACATAGATGTCCCAGGTGATTTTAGTTTGCCAGTAGAAGAACCAGTTACTTTGAATGAGGCTTTAACACAAAATCAAGATGGACCTATGGTTTTGGATGATTTTAGGGTTTCCCATCCCTCTCAAATGATGACAGAAACCCAAAAAATAAGAGTACACAGGTCAGACTTACTTAACGATATGATAACAATATTCAAACAACAGTATATAATACAGAGAAATTTAATGTTTGAGTATGTAAATGAAATAGGGTCAGATTTAGATGGTGTGTCTCGAGATGTCTATTCTTCCTTCTGGATTGAATTCCTCAGGTGTTCCTCCGAAGGGGAAGATTGCAGGGTACATGCCTTGAACTCGAGGTGGCAGGCAGACGAATGGATGTCCATAGGGCGTATCAAGGCAAAGGGTTATCAGGACCACCAAATTTTCCCCCTACAACTTTCAAAGGTAACCACCATCGTCATTGCATTTGGGGAAGAAACTGTGACATCAGCAGATTTCTTTAATTCCTTCCTTCACTTTGTTAGCCAAACGGACCGTGACTTAATACAAGCTGCGCTAAAAGACGATCTGAAAGGAGAGGATAAGGATGAGCTTTTAGACCTTTTGGAAAGGTTTCAATGCAGCATCAATCCTTCAAAGGATAACATGAAATCAATTATAGACAAAATTGCTCATAAAGAGTTAATACAAAAACCCAAATATGCGATGGATAATATGGCAATCACATGTAGAGAAACTTTCATGGGTACCTTTTTATCAGTTGATAAGCTGTTAGAAAAATATGTTAATCTTGAACCAAACCCCAAGGACATTTTTAAAACTGCTGAAGGCTAGTCCAATAACGAACGCTGAGAATGCCTCATTACGCTTTTTTCAACAATACGTGAGGGGCCAAAATACTGTGTCACTTAGAAAACTATTGAGATTTCTGACCGGTTCAGAGACTATAACAGTTCCGAAAATAGACATATCTTTTACACAGTTGGAAGGATTTAACAGGAGACCTATTGCACATACTTGTGGACCATCACTAGAGTTACCGTCAACATATTCGAGTTACCCAGAGATTAGAATGGAAATGGACAGCATCCTGTCTGACGACTCCTGCTTTGTAATGAATATTGCTTGAGCATATGATCATATTAACAGTGACATGGGGTTATTTTCCAAGAAATGTGTATCTATTCATATTCTACTGAATTTTTTTTCTTGCGTTCAAACTGATAGCATGATGGATTTTAAAGGACAATAAATGCTATTAATGTCTGAATGTTGTGGCATATTAAAAAAAAAGATAAGCGAATAACTGCTTCTGCACCGATATTTAAGATGCCATAAAGAAAGTAATGAGAAAAAAGGAGAAACTTTTCAGCCTTGATTTTAGTTTAGTGTGTATAAATATGCATATGATCTCTACTGTAGGAAGTAGGACTTATAAATTGATCTGAAAATTCTCGTTATATAATTACGATTTTTATCTTGGGAATTTTATTTTTTTTTCTCAAAATGTGCAAAGTGCACCCTAAGAAAAGTTGCAAAATTGATGTTTATATGTTTGTGCAAGAGAGACACATGTGAAAATTGTTCTTTTTTTTTCTTTTTCATGTGAATTGGGGTTTTTTGTTGTTTCTTGTTTGTTTTTTGTTGTTCTTTTTTTTTTTACCTCACCTGGACAAAAAGTCCACATCATTTTCTATATGTTTGTTGAAATCTATAAATGATTAATGTAAATTAAAAATATGTTTTAATTTCCAAGACAAGATCTTCCTTTAAAGCAGGCGACATTTCATCGAAATCAGACCTACCAGTTTAAAATACAGAGTTATTGTCCCTGACATGCCAAAGGTCCATGTTAGCTTTTGCCATCACTTGATGATTGCCGTTGTCAATAATCTTTTTTTAAATATCGTATTGTATAAAATCACTGTACAGATTTTGATAAAACCTGGCCACTATGACCCATAGAGTATTAAAGATTGATGATAAATGTATTTGCAAATATGTTCATCAATCGGTATGCAAAATATAACCTTTATCAGACTACTTATCACGACCTGAAAAAGTGATCACCAAGAAAATTTATATTTAATTTAGATATTCAGAGTAATTGTAGTGGCTCAGAACATAGGGAGCGGTATTATGCGTTCTTTTTTCGTTGTTTAGGCCCAGTTTATATGTCGGACCTGTGAAATCAAGTTCAATTTCAAGTACAACTGTATGAATATGACAGATATTTACGTGGCAAAAAGAATAGAAAATTATAAGTAGAAAATTATAGTGATAATGATATCAAGTTTTCAAGTTCAGCGGCGACTCGTGGATCAGGTAAGCCTCTGGTTTTAGGATTTTATTAGAGCATTGTTGACACTTTTCAAAAGTGGGATTAGTTACGTGTGTGGCCTGTGCATCAATGATATAATTTGAAACACAACATGAAGCCTTCTTTTATATTTTGTTGAAAGAATATATCTCGTGGCAAGTAGTAATTGTAAAAACAACTTTTGTTATTTTTATAGTTCCTATGTTGCTGTCAGAGATAACGTTGCAGTTATCCAAATTTAAAATGTTAAAATAATAGAAAACATTTTTGTGAAATAAAAATTAAAAAAAAATACATGAACATATATATGTGTTTGAAATGATTTTTGTTTGGTTCTAAAAATAATATCAACGGTCAGGTTTTCAGCACTGGTGACAGAAGAAAATTGTTTCATTCATACATACGAGCTATATCTTTGATTTTCTGGAAATATATTGTTTTTGTCCCATTAGTCATCGAAACATTTGTTTTGCTGTTTTAGCATAGTTATAGTTCAAACATATTTATTTAAAGTGAATTGGGAAACAAGTAATTACAACTTATATTAATTCCTTACAACTTTGCTGGTGCGAGTGTGGCCTTATATTTGAAGGGGACTATTGTCAGGAGTAGCCCCGGTGCCCACGTGCACGTTTGCATCCGCATAAAGGTTGAATGTCAGATTTATATCGGAACAAATATACATGATAGAATCCTCCAATCTTGCATACAGATTCATCGGGGATAGTAGATTAGCACCAAAGCAAAAGTTACATGGTCACTGCGACATACATTTTCCAGTTCATTGACTTATATTAAATAAAATTGAGAATGGAAATGGGGAAAATGTCAAAGAGACAACAACCCGACAAAAGAGAAGACAACAGCTGAAAGCCATGCGCCAATGTGTCTTCAACGCATTGAGAAAATCCCGGTGGTGGTCCTCAGCTGGCCCCTAGCTAATAAAATTGTGTACTAGTTCAGTGAAAATGGACGTCACACTAAACCCCAAATCATATAAATGAACTAGAATTTAAAAAAAAACATACAAGACTAACAAATGCCAGAAGTTTACATCCGAGTTCATTTCTCAGCAACTATAATCGGGTTTGAAAAATTATTTGAGAGGATGTCGAATTTTTTTTCAGTTTTGTTCGATTTTCTCTATTTATTTGTTTCATGGAATGGTTTCGGTAGCATGTCGACGAATTTGATCTATTGTTTTTCGTTTCCCAGATAAAGGGACCCAAATTGACGGTGTCCGAAACTGTAATTTTTTTAATTTTGTCCGATTTCGAACGTTTCAATTGATTCCTCATGGAAATTCCTGTCAGTGACTGTCAATTAGATTTCCATACCTCTAACGGCTTCTGACCTAAAAGTTATCAAAGAGGCCAAAAAGTTGGTATTTAGGGGTATCATTGATTTGAACAATTTCACTTCACGAAAAGTTCGGGAGGGGACTTTTGTGATACCTCGAGCGTCCGGTTAGCAAGCATGGATTAAGTATATTCTGACTTACTGACAAGTCCAACATAAAACATATTGGTATGTATATGATGCATCTAGTGATGCTCCCTGCAATGCAAGCTGTAGATGCTGACCGTGACCTACATTTTTCGGTTTTGCCGCTGACTGACAAAATAAGAATCCACTATCATCAATCTTCAGTGATTTTCTATCATTTCTACCAAAATTGCAAACCACCGTTAAAATTTTCAAAATGGCTGCCAGCCGTTACCATGAGAAGTGAAAAATGTTGAAATTATAATTCTTTTAAAACAAGAACCGGCCTTATGAAACTTTAAGTGAATGTTGTATGTGAAGTATAGAAGCTCACATTGTGTATAGAAATTCCAAAGTGACCGCCATTTCCATGAAAACTGGAAATAAGTCTTATCATCATGACATGGGACATTCTAGAACATATGTTCTATTACTCCTAGAGACTTCAAACTTCATATGATGGTAGTGTAATCGGAGAATATGATTCAACATACAAACAGGATATTAGTTTGTACAGATGTGCTATCTGACCTTAGAATTTTTAAAATGGTCGCTGTTGCCATACAAATGCAAAAATACCAAAAAAAATCAAATTCTCAAACTGTAATGAAACTTTACAGGAATGTCAGTTGAAGATGTTCAATTTGACTGGAATTTTAAAAATGGCTACCGTTATCCTGGAAATAACCAGTCCAAAATGACTGCCATTTATGTGGCAATGGCGGAGTATTGATATCCGCTATAATTTGCAATATATTAATTGTAATTTTTTGGTACATTTATTGCAATTTAAATATTTAACTACCTCCGATAGTTTTGGGGACATTTGATAAAATCTAAGCTAGATTTAGGGTTTATTAAAAGATTGCAGTGCAGATATATATATATATATATATATATATATATATATATATAGAAGTCTATAAAAAGGACCAACCAGCAAATTTACTATGTACCGGATCGTCTAGAATAGACGATACTGTACAGATAAGGAAAAAGTATTGTTAAAACTATTGACACTGACGAAGGCTATTTGTTCAGCCGAAATGTTTGTCAACACGATTTAATAACAACATCTTCGTATAATACCATCTTATATTAGTACCGTTGTGCAAATTTTTAGACTTATATATATATATATATATATACCAATATAATATCTTGTCTTGCTGGTTTTTTTTTTTCTTTGGTATATTTTGTCTTTCTGTCACAATTTGTTTTCTGTAAGCCAAGACCTGAAGTTTTACTTAATAGAATATATGTTGCTTAGGTGGCCATTTTTATTTGTCTGATCAGAACAAAACGGAGGTGATTTGTAAATGATACACAAGGGATGATAACTGCAAAATTTCAAAACATTCAGTCCAATGGTCAGTGGTTTCAAAGAACATTTTAAAAAAAAGGTAAACAGACGACGGACGCAATGTAATGGAAATGTGGCCAGAAGAGCAAAAACAAAAAGATGACTGCATTTTTTGTGTTCATACCAAACGGTTAAACATCTTATTTTGTCGAATGTCTCAAAATCTAAAAGAGATACAGGAATATTGAAGTCGCCTGCTGTTTTCGTTTCAAAAAGTTCTGCTGAAGTCTCAAGTGAGTCGAATAAATTGAAGACTCCTTGTAGGATTATTTGCCCATGATAGGTCAAGTTGACGATTATCACTATTTGGGCTTAAATATTGAAAACTGTAACAGATAGAAAGATACATTTTTGTTCTTTCCAAAGTTGAAATAATTCTTAATCTTGTGATATTTATTCCATTTGATCCAGCAGCCCTCATATAAGTTATTGCACTTGAATGGGCATTTTTTACTCATAGCATGACAACTGTTACAGATGGAATGGAATGGAGTGATCCTTATGACTACCAATTATTTAAATGGGTGGAAATATTTTTAAGACTCCTCGATAGGTTAATTGACTTGTTTACTTATAGCTTTAGTTGGTAAAGCGTAAGAGATATACAGAAAATTTCTGTGAAAAAAATTATACTTATCACAAGGACTGCCAATAAATTATTTGGGCTAGATTGATTTGACTATCCCCTTTTACAGTTATCATTTTTTTCAGGTTCAATTGGCTGTTCTTCATGTTGTGAAAACAGAACAGTTTTATTTTTCATAATACTTATGACTCGAATTACCAATGATCAAATTGGTTCAATGTGAGTTATTGAGTTATTACTCGTGAAAGGCAAAATTTGCTGTTTTTGGTGTATAGCAGGGAACTGTTTTTACAGATAGAAATTTTTTTTTCAAGTTGATGAAATGGTTCTCATGACAAGGGCTACCAAAAGCATAAAGGGTAGATAAGATCCAATGGCAATCATTATGGCTAATATCTTAAAAACTGGCAGGGATTATATCCAAATTTCCATCTGCTAGCATTTTTTCTCAAATTTGGAATACTAATTTGTTCGAGTAGTGACCTCGAAGTATACCCATATGTAACGAACTTTATATTTTGATGCTACTACCATGAAAATAATAGAAAATGAGTGATCAATGAAAAAGGCAAAATGACTTATATTTTTTGTATCCTTGACTGGTACATTTGTCATTGCTGAAGACATCAATAAGGCCTCTCCGTAAACGTTTAGTGCATGTTATGTTCTAAGTAT